ATCCAAGGCGATGATATCTTGGAGAGCACGTCAACAGCATGCGTGGAGACGGTCCCTCTGTGGACCACAGATAACCCAGTCCAGAAGTTTTGATCTCAGACACACTCGATCTGTCAACACGTTCCTGGTCGTCTGGTCTGAACGTTGGCTCACAGACACAAACCGACACGCACGCAGCACCGTCACAGCTGCACTGATTGAATGGACGTTTGGTGATGATGGAGCAAACCAGAGTTACAGAGACCCGCTCCCTCAGAGCGGCAGCACGACCAGCCCGTGTACATTTGCATGAGAAAGGAAGCCAGCGCATACTGAAAAGGTGAGAGTGACACACACACACAGAGACACACACACACACAGAGACACACACACACAAACTCATTCAGACACTAAATGGCACCTCTTCTGCAGTCTGCGGTCCTGTAGCCGGTGGAGTGTCACCGTCCGTGTCTTTTCTCCACGCTGGTTATTGTGATGCAAATAAGACTCCGTAGGAGAGAAAACCTCGTCCCCAAATCTTTTCCACAGAATTCCCACAAGTCCTGTCCCGGTTTTCCCAACTCTGCCTCAGTGCACGCCTGGATCTTGCCACCAAACGCGAGCCAGTCAGTCAGTCAGACAGTCAGTCAGACAGACAGTCAGACAGTCAGTCAGACAGTCAGTCAGACAGTCAGTCAGACAGTCAGTCAGACAGTCAGTCAGACAGTCAGTCAGACAGTCAGTCAGACAGTCAGTCAGACAGTCAGTCAGACAGTCAGTCAATCAGACAGTCAGTCAGACAGACAGTCAGTCAGACAGTCAGTCAGACAGTCTGTGTTAGAGCCGAGAGGATCACCACTCTGTTTGCACTTCCACAGTGGAGAGATGGAACAGGAGAGGGAGGCAGAATGAGCGCCACTGATTCTCTGTGTGTGTGAGGGGGGAGAAGAGCGAGAGGGGCAGGAAGTAAGAGAGAGAGAGAGAGAGAGAGAGAGAGAGAGGGGGGATAGAGTGAGGTAAGCGTGGACGTGTGATGCTGTGACTGAAAGAGAGCCACCGTTGACGCTCTGTTCATCCGGTGGGGACGAAACGCACTGAGATCTACTACCTACTGGTGTCCTGTTAATTCTCCAAGTCCAACAACACCCCCAATCTGCAGCACAGAGTACTGCATCTCTGCTGCTCCTCCTGGATTTTGCCCTGGTTCTAACCGACTTAATTGAGTCATGACACACAAAACACATTGACAATATACTAGGTTGACTTTTACTGGCTTTTTGGAATATATGTTTAATTAATTTAACAATGTTTTGATTATTTTGAAGAAGCTTTTCTATTAAACCTCTCTTTCACATATCTGGCCGTCTTAAATCTCTTTTGTTAAGGACATTTTTTGGACCGATAAGCTAAGCTAACGATGCATACTTTAGGCAGCTGTTTATTTATGATTGGGGTTTCTCCATTTTGCTAATTTTTTAAGACATTTTTGCCACCCTAGCTGTAGGACCTTCAGCTACTTTTGTCTTACCTTTTTTGAATTTTAGGTATTTTTGACACTTTTCCCTAATACTAGCTGCTATTGTTGCTGTCTCTGTATGTTTGGAACACACCAAATTTGCAAACAGGCTTTTATTTTATCTACCCTAAAACGTACATAGCCTCAGTTTTGATGGCGTTTCAAACTTAAAGACTAATCTAGTTCCTCAGACTTAATTTTTCATCTCTGGTTTTTGAAAAGTGTATTTTAATTTGAGTTTCCAATGATTTCCATGTGTCGACGAATCTACAGCGAGAGAACAGAATCAGTGAGTGCTGAAAATGAATGTTGATTTTCTGTTACCTCCTGAGCTAAGACAAGGATTGGCCGCTAACAGCCTCATTGGCAGCGAACAGCAGATACAACACGGCCGCTGCTGAAATGGCCCAATATTTGGAATGGATCCAAAAATAGATTCAGTGTTAACACACGCGACCACGGTTCAATTCCTGTGTCAGCTGCACTAGTCTGGACTCAGTCAGGTGTGCAGTACGAGGATGATGCAGGAGACGCTAACAGTTTCTAATTTGTGTCACTCGAGGCTTGACATGTAGTAAATAACTGTGGAAAATAGCATGAAAGCAGACCAATGAAAGTTTCCCTGAACAGATGGGTGAAATTAAATTGTATTTTCTGTGCCGAAAGACAAAAATCCACCTCTACAGCTCAGCAGGTGCCATGTGACTCCCCAGAGAGGAGGGAACAGCCTGAGCAAAGTCACAACACGAGACGACAGCTGTTTCTCCAGAGGAAGGTGCTGCAGCAGTTAACTGACTCCAACCCCAGGACTAAAGACCGGCAACTGGTGCAAAATCTAAAATGAAGACAGAGCAGGGGTTTTAGGCTGCAGGGGTATCCTGAAAGATGAGGGAAGGCTTTATGGTTTTATGTGGCTCTTGAATGAAAAGTCCATGACCAAACTCAATTCATCGTATACAGAGTAATGGATCACCGACTGCAGACACCAAAAAATGCTAGAACAATATCAGCCAGGAACCGTGAAAGGACTGAGA